ATTCATTCATTCATTCTACCCCCTCGTGCAGCCGTGACTCCTGCATGTTTTTCCATGACAGCCTGCTGGAGTGTGTGTGTGTGTGTGTGTGAGAGAGAGAGAGAGAGAGAGAGAGAGAGAGAGATAGGCTTATCTTGTAGCTGGAGGCACTCAAAAGGTGAAAACATGTCATGGACGTCCTCTTAGGGAAACAGGACTCTCTCTCTCTCTGTAGTGGATGAGCGAAATGTCATGGAGGAGCATCTCAGGTGTGTGTGTGTGTGTGTGTGTGGACATTTCTCCTTTTCTTTTTCTCTTAATGGATATTCTCTCCATCCATCTGCTGTTTTGTCCTTCTTCACATTTTAAGCAACTTTCAGCTTTTCCAAGGCTAAACAGTTGAATCTCAGGGAAACACATCTGGGTCACAAAATAAGAAATTATATTTTGCATAAAATGAAGCATATTTTTAGAACCATTTTTTTTTTTCAGTTTTATATACACACACAAGTTTGGCATCAGTAAGATTTTTGTTTTAAGTCTCTTCCACTCACCAAGACTACATTTATTTGTCAAAAATACAGTAAAAACAGTATCATTGTAATATGCTGATTTGTTGCTCAAGAAATATTTCTGATCATTATTAATGTTGAAAATGTTTTTTGTGTAAAACCATGACATAAAAACATAGTGTTTATTTAAAAATTGACATTATAAATGTATTTACTGCCATTATCGATCAATTTAATGCATCTTTCCTGAATAAAAGTATTAATTTCTTGGAAAAAAAATACCGACCCCAAGATTTTGAATAGTAGTATATATATAATTTCAGTCAGCATAAACAAATACAATATAACAAATACTACCATAATATATAAATACTTGACCATGTAAATTTAATTTTTCTATATTACAATAATAATAAAATTACTAAAAATTTAAAGTCAAATAAATTCCTAAATAAGTTCAAATTCAATAAGAATTTGTGAATGCGTTTGTCATGAAAATAATGTTGCGATGGACAAAATCATTAAGATGCTTAAAAAGGTTTCCTGTTCTTTAAAGGTGAAGTATGTAATTTATAGACTATGTAAAAACACATAGTTTGATTGCAGAAAATCAGTCATTTGTTGGCTAATTCTCCCCAGAAATACTTGTTATATTGCAAACAGGAATATGTTTGTTTGAAAACTTTATTTAATTATTTTTTCCAATTTAGTTTGGTGCTGCTAGTGGCAGCTTTCCTCTTGATTTTGTTGAAATGCAGGCTTGTTCTTGACAGGTTTGTGAGATTCACTCAAGCACTCTGTGTGTCTTTGTCTCTGTTCCTCCTGTCGTATGTTGTCTTCCCTCTCTTGTTTTCTTCTTCTCTCTGGATGTGTAGGGAATTCATAGTCTAACGTCAGAGAAACGCTGTGTGCCGAGAGAGAAGAAGCACTGTAAATACTGGATGGAGTCTATTTCTGTCTCGGAACATGAGATTGACTGTTAAATGCACACACGTACACAAACACACACGCACTCGCTGTTTATAGAGCAGCGTTTCTCCATGTTGGGGTTTCTTTCCATAATAAAACAGGCCAGATCTCTGCCTGCTCAGGGTGAAAGGTTCTCCATCACAACATTCACATACATGCACAAAACATCTTAGATTATTGACTCAGGAAAAAAAAAAGATCAAAATGATGATTTAGAGAATTCATGAGAGAGTGCTTTCTTCACATTTCTGCTGTTTAACCTCCTTATTTGTCGGATGTCTTAAAAAAAGCAAGGTTAAGTTTACATCAGTTTATCAGTTTACATCTTGCAATTTTGTAAAATAAAATAAAAAAATAAAGATAACTGCAATTTTTAACCAACAATTCTGACTTTTTTCTCATTACTGCAAGTTCATATGCCACATTTCAGACTTATCTTTTTTTATTTCGTCTTGGAAACATGCTTTCATAATGACAGAAGGCTGAAGCGCACAACACACTTTAACAAGAAAAACACTTATCACATACAGTACAATAAAGAAACAAATAACAGTGACCTTATTAACTTTATGGCTGCTTTGTTACTTCGTAAATGTCTGGATTTCGAACCTTTGCACTTCAGAAACTTCATCAGGTCCAGATTACCCAATCAAAGCTTGTCACCATGACCAGAGACGCAAGCGGACGGGCATAAAATGGTGAATGTCGATTATGCATTAGCTAGTGTGTGTGTGCTGGGGAATACTGAGGTTGAAGAACAAATGTTGTGAGTGTTGAATGTGCCTTTCCTGTGATGTGTGTGACGTTCTCCTGAGTTTTAAACCTCAGCTGAAGCGAACAGTGTCAGAAACGTCTCACTAAATATAACACACCCTGACAGCGATCTGAATCGCCGGATTCCCTCGCTACTTTGAAGAATTCTAATTACTGTCAGTGTTTTCCATGTGTGTGTGTGTGTGTGTGTGTGTGTGTGTGTGTGTTGTAATCCATCACAGCTCAGGCATTACAGACAGTTGTGCTTGTATGTGTAATTCCACTGTAATTAGTGTTTATTCAGGATGCAGTGATTCATCCACAAATAGCCAAATGTTCCTGTTAAAAGAAACAGTAAATAAACAATAATGAATGGTGGGTGTTTGAATTTAGTGGAAAATATCCAGAAATACAAGCAAATCTAACCGCTTTCGTTTACTTTGCCCGGGCTGCTTTAAATTGGCTTTCACACCGACGATGGATTTTTATGGGCTTCCTAAACTTGGGTGGGTAAATCAACTAGAACCAGACGTTCACAACACTGACCTTCTCTCTCTGTGCAATCTATAGAGCCGTGAGGATATATCACCCAACAACAGAGCCAATCTAGATTCAATTACCAACTGGGCCAAGAGTGCAATTTATAACTACACACACGCATGTGGACGCTCCTGAGGATGGTAGAGGTCGCGCTGCATGCATTAAACTCCCGTGTTTACCGTGGAGATCGGTGAGGAATTCAGCGTCATGAATTTCTGAACGTAATTTATAGCTGAAATCTCAAGTGCATCCCGCTTACGATTCATAAGCTGAATCCTCAGCGAACAGAATTTGAATTTATTGTCGAAATGAATATTTCCTTAGTCACAAAGGTGTGTGCATGCATTTGCATTCTGAATAATTATGCTTTGTGTTCATTTTCAATGTTTTATATGATTTATGTCAGCTCATGGAAACTCTGGATATGAATTTATATGCTGCTGATTTTGTATCTCTGCATAAACGATGCAGTTTTTGGCATGGTTTGGCAACTTTTAATGCTTCTAAGTTTGTCTTTTACTGATTTTGGATGGGCAATCTGGGTCTGTTACAATGCAAAAAGTGCTGTTCTTCTTTCGTATTTTTTTTTTTGGTCCTGTTTTCTAGTACAAATATGAAACATTCTTAAATCAAGGTACATTTACTTGAAATGCAAAATTATGTAAGATTAGAAGTTTTGTTTTATGAGTAATTTATCAAAATGAAATGTGGTTTGTGCTTAAAACAAGAACAAATATTTGCCACTGGTATCAGAAAAATAAACTTGTTTTTCTGACCCCATTGGCAAATATTTGTTCTTGTTTTAAGCACAAACCACATTTTCAGGCTTCTTATCTTATGTCATTTTGCATTTTAAATAAATGTTTAGATATTTTAAGAATGTTTAGATATTTGTGCCAGAAAATTAGACAAAAATACATAATGAAAACTACCTAACCAGGTCAAGATGGTGTTGTTGCATGTAAACCAGTTTGAGCAATGCTAAAACCAGCACGAAAGCATCCAAAACATACTTTATACTACTAACAAGAAATTAAATCTTCTTAACCGGTCATAACCTGTTCTTAACCTGGTCACCAGATAAACTGGCTTAGCTGACCTCAGCAATTTTTTTCCCACAATACTTTATTTTATACATATACGCTTTGATGCATGTTTGTAATTAAATGACCACATGCTTGTGTGTTTTATGTACAGAAAAAAACTGCAGTGTGGATATTTCTGCTGATGGTTTGGCTATGAATCACTAAAATAATGTGCCTTTCAGCTAGTTTAAGAAGACACCACTGGCTGATTGAAGGTTTTAGTGATGCTCTTTAAAGGAATAGTTGACCTGAAAATAAAAATTTACTGAAAATGTGTTCACCCACAGGCCATCCAAGATGTAGATGAGTTTGTTTCTTCATCAGATTTGGAGAAATGTAGCATTACATCACTTGCTCAGCAATGGATCCTCTGCAGTGAATGGGTGCCGTCAGAATGAGAGTCCAAACAGCTGATAAAAACATCACTATAATCACTCCAGTCCATCAGTTAATGTCTTGTGAAGCCAAAAGCTGCGTGTTTGTAAGAAACAAATCTATCATTATGATGTTTTTAACTTCAAACCGTTGCTTCCATAATCCATAATAATACTTCCTCTTGTTGTGAGAGAGTGATATGCACAGATCAAGCACCGTTTACAAGCCAAAACAGCCCAAAACAGCTCTAAACAAAAATGTGTGTGGATTTTGATGTGAGAGGCAACAGGAGATGGACTTTTTCACTGGAGGAAGCGTTGTTATGGATTATGGACATATTACGTATTTTAGCCGGAAACAACGGTTTGAAGGTAAAAGTGTCTTAATGATGGATTTGTTTCTGACAAACATGCAGCTTTTGGCTTCACAAGGCATTAATTGATGGACTGGAGTGGTGTGGATTACTTGTGGATTATTGTGATGTTTTTATCAGCTGTTTGGACTCTCATTCTGACGGCACCCATTCACTGCAGAGCATCCACTGGTGAGCAAATAATGTAATGCTAAATTTCTCCAAATCTGATGAAGAAACCAACTCATCTACATCTTGGATGACCTGAGGTTGAGGACATTTTCAGCAAATTCTCATTTTTGGGTGATGGAAACACCCAGGACACCCTGGCACTGATGGAACATGCGTCAACACTTTATATTTGGTGCTAAATTGTACAGTTTTTCAGTGTGACATTGCTAAACATATTGACTTCTCGCTGTAATTCTCCTCCAGGTTTTACTGGGATCTCACCATGCTGCTCCTGATGGTGGGAAATCTCATCGTCATTCCCGTGGGCATCACCTTCTTCAAGGACGAGCACACGCCGCCGTGGATCGTCTTCAACGTGGTTTCCGACACCTTCTTTCTCATGGACCTGGTGCTAAACTTCCGCACAGGAATTGTGAAGGAGGACAACGCGGAGATCATTCTGGACCCTCAGCAGATCAAGATCAAATATCTGCGCTCATGGTTCGTGGTGGACTTCATCTCTTCTATCCCCGTGGACTACATCTTCCTCATTGTGGAGACGCGCATCGATTCGGATTTCTACAAGACGGCGCGCGCTCTGCGGATCGTACGCTTCACCAAGATCCTCAGTCTGCTGCGGCTGCTGCGGCTCTCGAGGCTCATACGCTACATTCATCAATGGGAGGAGGTGAGTGGATGTTTTTAGTGTTTTTACCACGTTCACCACTCATAACTACAGATATCTGATGATAATGTGACCCGGGGAGGGATTTAACATCTCTGCCCAGAGGAAAATATTATTGCTTTCATAGCACAAGAGATTCAGTGGAGTTGTCAGTTATGTATAATTTAAAGCAACAGTTCAGCTAAAAGTAAAGTTTCCATCATTATTTGCCCATGGCATATCAAGACATGCAAGTTTGACGTCAGTTTACATGCACATCAATGCATTATGAAAAATGTGATGTTTATATGCATACTGGCATCAGAATATTCCTATAGACGTTGCTGTTATAAATATGCTGATCTACACATTTCCTGCTGTTATTCTCTAAGAGATTTGAGAACTTTTTCACTCAAACACTTTTGACCTTCAAAAATGCCAGACAACACCACCACAAAATGTATAATAATAATAATATGATTATTACTATTAATGTACATTTATTTTAATAATTCTAAAAATAATAATGTACACAATAATTTAATTAGGACTTGAACACTTCTGACCTTCAAACATGCCAGACAACGCCTCCACAAAATTTATAATAATAATAATAATAATTATTATTATTATTATTATTATTATTATTATTGATGTACATTTCTTTGAATAATTCTAAAAAATAATAATGTTCACAATAATTTAATTAGGACTCGAACACTTCTGACCTTCAAAAATGCCAGACGACACCGCCACAAGCATAAAAAAAATAAAAATAATTGAAAAAATATGTACATTAATAATAATAATAATTATTATTAATGTACATTTCTTTTAGTAATTCTATCAAATAATACAATATTTTTGTTGATTATTATTATTACTGTCTTTATTATTATTGACATTTCTTTTAATAATTCCATAAAATGGAAGTCTTGTTAATAGTTTTGTTTTCTGAATACTGATGTACATGTAAACATAGGCTAATGCTTCTGTGAGTATGATGACTATGATGACTTTTTGTATTTTGGTTAAACTATTGCTTTATTGGAGTTTTTAATTATGTGAGAGTCAATCTTTAGTGTTTCTCCTAAAGTTTATAAGTAGAAAAGAAATGCATGCTATGAGATTAGCGGATAGCAGCTCATTTCATGTTCTCTTCATCCTGAGATGTCTGATGTTTGACTGCAGAGGTTTGATGTGTTATGTTTGCAAATATGAGCATAGTTTAAGGCATTTGTGAGACTTGCTCTCCATTTGATCTCGTTGTTGTCTTGCAGAAGTGGTTGAGATACTGAAGCGATCTGATTTGTGCTGTTAGAATCCAGTTTGTTCTCTGTTTGCAGAAATCACAAGCTGGAAGCAGCATATGCTTCGTGACTCTCATTTCCAGCCAGTCTGCGAGCTTTGGCAGAAATCGAAGTGTTGACTCTTACACGTATCAATTAATGAATATTTCAAAGCAGAGTGCTAACATTAGGCTGTAATTTTCTCTGGTCCTCTTGAGGATGGGTTTGGATGGTGATTAAAGCGATGATTAGAAGCGTTCGTCTCTCAGCATCAGTAGTGAACGGGTGAACAGGGTCTCAGAGGTGCGCGGTGAGAAGTGAATCCGGCGAACACAGCTGCTGCCTCATTTAGTCGGCCGTGTTAGTTCTCACGACAGCATATCACGCTGTCTTCCACAGCGGCACGCTGCAAATTGAACGGCTCCTATTAGAAGCGTGCAAAACATGTCAGACGTCAAAAATACATGGGAAAGTCTCAATAACAAATCGTCAGACTAGTTTTCAGAGCAGTATTTGTTAAGCTGATGCTTACAGAGTAGTTTACAGAATACTACATTAGTGATACGTTTGAGGATTTTCTGATTCTGATAATATAATATAATATAATATAATGTAATGTAATGTAATGTACTTTGTGTACTTTAGTAAAAAAAAAAAAGTATGTTCTATGACAAAATGTAATTGAAATTTCATGATTAATTGTCCTACAAATAATTAGCAATTAATTATTTAATTCTGTTTTGTTCTTGTCATTCTTGTCTGTACAGTCTAAGCCTAATAGCCTAATTGTATATATAATAAAATAGGCCCATTGGATTTACTTTAATGCTGTAAAAATTAATATTTATATAATATAATATAATATAATATAATATAATATAATATAATGCAGTCTGATTAAACCCACAAATTTTGTTGGAAGGAAGACATTTGACTGTCTTTGTGTATTTTAAAAACAATTATTTTTTTTATATTCTCTGACAAATCTGTGATTGAAATTGAAACTGCACAGTTATTGTGGTTGTCTCAAATAATTGCCACGATCATATGATTAATTAAAAAGAGTGACAGAAATATAATCGCAGTGTTCACAATGCTGCTTGTTTGAAGTTTCCTTATAAAAACGTTCGCAGACGTCCTGGTGTGGTGTTTTAAAGTGCCCCTATTATGCCATTTCTAGTATTGCCTTTCATGCAGTGTGTAATGTAGCTGTATGTGAATGTAAACGATCTGCAAAGTTGTAAAGCTGAAAGTGCACGATAAATAAAGTTATTATCTCCCAAAATAAAGAATCGACTCTGAACAGCTGAAACGAGTCGTTAGTAATTTGAATCCCACTAGCACATTTGCATAATGCGCGCCTATGTTCTACGTTGGCCGGCTGCGAACAACTTGACCCCGCCCACAAATACGTCATTCTACTGACGACTGCTTCGCTAATCTCGGTGAGTTCAACGCGGGATTCACAAAACGCTTGCTGTTGAAAGATGGATCAGTATCCTGTTTATTTGGACCAACTGAATTACAACCTGTAAGTATGATAAATAATAGATGTTTATATTTTCTATAGAGCGTTCAAAATACAGAACTATGGCAATGGGCGCATCGTTTCCGAAACGCGCTGTATGCCGTAGACCAATCACAACAGACTGGGCCATCTGACCAATCAGAGCAGAGCGGAAAGGAGGGTTTTAGAGAGAATTAATCTTTGAACTGCGTCGAACGAATCGTTTGAGAATCGCTGGAAAATGAGGTGATATTAAATGCATATTTTGAGAAAGCTAAAGCATTTTTTGACCTTGCATGCATGTAATCCTATTATAGGAGACTCCCAAAACAATATTAGGAACCATATAAATGGCATAATAGGGGCACTTTAAATAAATGGAAAACACTACTTTATTATTTTAACTTGATTTTACTGCATTTTAGACCTAAAAGCTTCTGCACCCTGTTTGTGATGGAGGAAAGTGCAGGCAGAGGAACACAGCAGGAACTGACTGAACTGGAAAACTAGAGATGAGATGAATTGAGTGGAGATCCTTGTTATCTACACACACTTCTGACTAATTTTCATCTTACCTCCATATAATACATACTGATGTAGTATTTAAAAGCACAGGAGTAACCAAGGAAATTCTGTATCGCTGCTCTTCCACAAGCGCCACCTGCTGTCAGAGAGTGAACTTGCGTTCTCATTCATCCATCTGCTGTTTTTGTTTCATGCAGTTACATTTTATGTAGTGTAATTTCACAAAGCTAAGGTCAGATCATTCCGTCTTTGCTTTAAATTAAATGTAATTTACATAAAAAACGGCTCATACTGTATGTAGCATCTTTGTTTGGATCGTGATTAAAGTGCAGTGGCTCTGCAACCGTTTCATGCATTGTGATTCATCTAAAGGCACAGTCATGGAGAGATTGTGATAAACCGTGAAACTGCCAGAATATAAAAAAATTTAAAAAAGTGATAAAGATTTTTGTTCAAACCGCCCAGCACTAAGCAGCATAATATGTGACAGAAAGTGAGCGGACCTTGATGGGGCGGAAATGAAAAGCCATCTGTCCCTGATCTTAGATGAGTTTAATGGTGTCTTAACTGTCATGAAACTGTCATCATGATTTAATGTAGAAGAGCTATTTTTACCACTGAATGTTTAAGGGTATAAAAGAGTCTGTGGCACCTTTGAGATACACTACCATTCAAAGGTTTAGGGTCAGTACCTTTGATTTTTGCTAAAGAAATTAATACTTTTATTCAGCAAGGATGCATTAAATTGATCAAAAGTGACAATAAAGATGTTTATAATGTTACAAAAGATTTCTATTTCAAATAAATGCTATTCTTTTGAACTTTCTATTCATCAAAGAAGCTGAAAAATCAAATGTACCACGGTTTCCATAAAAACATGAAGCAGCACAACTGTTTTCAACATTGATAATAATCAGAAATGTTTCTTGAGCAGCAAATCAGCATATTAGAGTGATTTCTGAAGATCATGTGACACTGAAGACTGAAGTAATGATGCTGAAAATTCAGCTTTGATCACAGCAATCAATTACATTTTAACATATATTCACACAGACAACAGTTATTTTAAATTGTAATAATATTTCACAAATTTCACAGTGTTTTTGATCAAATAAATGCAGCCTTGGTGAGCAGAAGAGACTTCTAAAAAATCTAACCGACCCTAAACGTATGTAATTATATTAAATTAATTATATAATTCAGTTAAAACCTTGTTTCTCCTTATGTCAATCATAGGATCTTGTCAAAAATGTTGTCAACGATTTTTTAAATATTTCAATTTTTTTATTTCTGTAATTTGGTATACATCACATTTGCTGTTTTTAAATTCATTATTTATATTATTTATCATTACATGTGTTTAATTGCATGTTAATCAGTCAAGAAAAACATGTTCCTATAGATGAAAGGAATAGTGGGGATATTAAACATCAACATTTGAATTCATTTCTTTTCATTTCTTTTTATTTATTATTTATACAGTAGTAATATCGACAGCAGACTGGTGGTAATCCTGCCGAGATGTTTTCCCATTCTGTTTCAGTGTTTCAAATAATGTACACAAAATTTTAATTGACCAAAAGCAAAGCTAACCCCTTGATGCTGACAATCTCACAATTAAATACATCTTCTTCTCAAAAGTTTGGAAGATGCTGATCTCCACCTTCCTGGAGGAAGTTGCTCTCCTGTGAGTGAATGCAGTT